ATCTACCTCAAACAAATGAGAATTCAACATATCGGACTTTCGGAAAGACAACCCATCAAGCAGACGGTTCTATCCGCATGTAGTAAAATATCACAGGCTTATAGCCTGAGCGAAAATAGCCACGCAAAAAATCGAAGCCGAGACACTAGCGAGTGGAATAAAATCTGCGGGAACGAAAAAGTGAGGCGTAGACAAAAAGAAGCGGGCAAGATAGGAGCGTTCCAGGACTGGGAAACCGCATGGAATACTTTTAAGGAAGAACGACTATCTTCTCATCAGGCGTCAGCAGACCCAGAACTTTGGACAGCAGCAAGTATAAGCACCGACAAGAAAACAGGTAGAAAAAGAATCACCTACAGAAACACACCCTCTAACATTCACCGAAACCTGAGCAGGGCCCAAAGTAGTATTGCAATACAAATAAGAAGTGAGCATATCGGCCTCAACTCTTATCTTTATAGAAGAAAGGTCCCTGGAGTGGCAAATCCAAAGTGCCAGTGTGGATATCCGTCACAAAACGTTAAACATATGGTCATGGCTTGTCCGCAGTGGGCTAAGGGAAGAGGAGAGGTGCTGCAACGGGCAAAAGATAGGTCTTTCGAAGCTATGATGAACAGCCCGGAAGACATGAAGAGAATTACAGATTGGGTACTTAAAAACGGCTGGCTTGAACAGTTCCGGCTTGCAGAAGAAGTTGAGACAGCAGTCAGCGAAAGGATTGAGCGATCGGGAAAAGGATAGGACGATATTCACACTGGACGCACAGTGTAAGCGCACTTCCTGTAGGAAACATCGGAAATCATATAGACACGAGACAGACAGTTGTGGGGGGTTTTTACCAAATATGGTTTCCTCCTGTGTAAATATTATAGCTAGATATTCCTGCATGGGCCCATAGGGTACCTGAACGGGCTAAATGAAATCAAATCAAATAATAATAATAATAATAATAATAATAATAATAATAATAATAATAATAATAATAATAATAATAATAATAATAATAATAATAATAATAATAATAATAATAATAATAATAATAATAATAATAATAATAATAATAATAATAATAATAATAATAATAATAATAATAATAATAATAATAATAATAATAATAATAATAATAATAATAATAATAATAATAATAATAATAATAATAATAATAATAATAATAATAATAATAATAATAATAATAATAATAATAATAATAATAATAATAATAATAATAATAATAATAATAATAATAATAATAATAATAATAATAATAATAATAATAATAATAATAATAATAATAATAATAATAATAATAATAATAATAATAATAATAATAATAATAATAATAATAATAATAATAATAATAATAATAATAATAATAATAATAATAATAATAATAATAACAAAAAAACATCATTTTTGCCAGAAAGCTGCGCAGCCTTCCACGCTGCCCGTATCATCAATTTGACATCGTGATTCTTATTTTTACATCTTTATTACCCTCCTCCCATCTTTTCGCTTTCCGAGCTCCAACATGGCGAGTGTGGGTGCTGGTGTGGGTAAATTCAGCGGATTCGACGCGTCGCAAAATGCGACAATGGCGCCAATAAACAACGGCAGCGGAGCGCAGACAGTACCAAAGGATAGAAACCTTGAAATCCTGGGTAAACTACTGAAACAGGTTAGATTAATCGTAATGGGAGAGATGGATGAGGAGGACTTACCGTCAATGGAGGACGTGAACGAGGCCATCAAGGCCTTCAACGCGCACAAAAGGGCCTAGACGGAAATGTCCCAGAAGAAGTCTCCTATCGAGGATAGGATGATGGCGCTCGAGGAGGTTGTCAAAAAGAGCCTCGCGGATCCCGCTCGAAAAGCTGCTCCAGCAGTAGTTTCGGGCGCGCCGACACCAAGGAGCTAGGCGTCGGTCGTGGCTCCGCAAATGACGAAAACAGCGGTTAGGATAAGAATCGATGGCGCACAAAACCTGCAGCCACAAGAGCTGCTGTCAAAGGCACAACAACACATCGAAGGCGCATTTGCAATTCGACAGATGCGAAGCAACGACACCGAGGTGTTTGTCCAGTCGGCGTCCCAGAGAGACGCGGCGCTTAACATGCGGCAACCAACGGACTTTAAAATTTTGCGGCATGACTTTCCTGTTGAGGTTTCCGGAGTCCCACTGCGGACAAGAATTGAGGGTGGCAGAGATGCCAACAACTACGCCATCATCAGGGAGATTGAGACGGCGACGAAGGAACGTATTCCAGGCCTGGCGATTAATAGAATACGATGGCTACATGATGGAAAGGAGCATCAGCGATCGAAGAAAAACGGTCGCAATCGAGGATCAATTGTGGTAAGCTTCCTATCGGAGGCAATGCAAACGGAGGTAGTTCGACAGGGCCTTGTTATTAACGCCATGCTCTTCACCGCGCAGGTGTGGTCGCCACGGGCTCAGCCAAAGCAGTGTTACAACTGCAGCCAATGGGGACATACGCAGGCGTCGTGTGGAAAGGCAGCCAGGTGCGGTGAGTTCGCTGGCGCTCACCAAACTCGGGACTGTCCGAGGAAAAGGGTTTCTTGTGCCAACTGCGGCAAGGAGCACCGATCGTGGCAGAAAGCAGCGTGTCGGACCTACCAGGTCTACAAGGGAAGTGTGGAGAAGGCTCGGATGGAGCTGTTATCGAGGACGGCGGAAATATGGAACGAGAAACCTACGGTGGCGCCAATGCGAACAGTCGAAACGACTGATGATCAAGGATTCACTTTGGTCACCAGTAAAAAGGCTGAAGGACTCAAAAGAGGGCCGGGACGACCACGCAAGGTAGTCGAAGCCCCAGTGGCACCAACAATCCCCGCCACAACTGCACCACCATCGGGGCCAACTCTTCGAACACTTCGAAGACCAACGCCGAATGAGGAGGTGCCTTCTCTTTTCAATTTCTCATAACGTTAGTCTGATTGAAGGGGGAGTTAATGAATTACGAGGAAAGTTTACATAATTGCGGTTGAAAGGAACGTCCTCAGTATAAAGTCGGGTCGGTTCAAAGTGGCAGGACATCGGGATTTGTTTGTTGAAAGCTTTTTCCCTTACCAAAGCGGCTTACCGTCTTCATGGTTCTGTATATAGATACCGCATAGGACGTTAAACGAGACTAATTCAATTCATTCAATAATAATAATATGTAGAAAGATCTGAGTAATTTGTGATATCCATCAACTTACCAGCCCCATGTGAGTGTGTGTAAAGCATTGTAGCCTCGCTTCAACCTCGTTATACACTATTATGATTGGTATATGACTTGGGAATGTACACTTGCGTAGGAACGGCTTAGATGGTTTGTGGAGAGATATCTTCATTAATATGCAGAACTTGAGTTACTATGAGGATTGTTATGTTACAGATTGTAGGATGCTCATCACTTATCCCCTAGCTTGTACGTATGTAGACTGAACACGTAACCAGTATGCAGCGCACTATAGTGTACTGCTGGAGGGAAAGACTGAACGCCTCCACGCGTTATCCTCCACGAACCTGGGAGTGAAATATTCTCCCACAGCCAAGTTCAGTCAAATTTCGCAATGTCTAACAAGTTGGCCCACGAGGCAATGATTCGAATTACTCCACCTCAGCGTTTTTCACTCCCAACGAGTTTGAACCCTACCTAAGTCTCATCAAGTCTACAAATACGACCAAGGAAATCCTCATCCCCATGACCATACCACTCTTCGATCTTCTCTGGCCTCAGTTGACCGCCAAATACACTCCCATGCCGATATTTACGACCGACGGAGGGAGCAAAGCGTGGCGCACAAATCTGGGACACAGTTCTTTGGGTTGGACCTGAGAGGAATCATGACAGGCTGACGAAACGGCATGGTGGATGGATACATTCTCGACGGGCGTGAAATTCTGAATAATGGCAAGGAGTTTTATGAATTTGGCTTCGTACGCGCCAGGACTTCGCTTGCGAGAGTGAAGCTAACACTAAAAACACAAGCTAACGCTGGAAAGTGCTGTGGTCCGTCTCGTGGTGGTGTTTTCTGGTATGGTTTGAGTAGCCTGGGCACCAGCTCCACTTGGGAAGGAGGCACCTATTGAAAGGCTATGTTAAGCTGGAATGACGTACCGTTAGGATGAAGGTATGGAAGGAGGTAGCTATGGCTTTAAGAGAAGTAAAGTTCGTGAGTTATGCTCTTAGGACTTGGATCAATCGACAAACTTGAGGATATTCCCTAGCATTCTCAAGTGTGTAAATCATATGGAGATTGTTTTAATTTCCTATTGTATATATTGCTTAAGTTATCTACGTGACAGGACCTTCTTCTATATACATAAATAAGGGGGTTCTGCACACTAGTGGATGTTCCAACATCTGTCCTTGTCTAACCGAGAAAGGAAGGATGTGAGAGATCCTAGTGCCAATAGATACCATTAGGAATCTATTGGGAAATACTATGTCATACCAATGGGTGATGATTTAGGTCAATCATATCCCATGGCGCATGTGCACATTATTCTAATGTGAACAGTTTATTGTAATGCAGTCATGTTACTCCCTTAATTACAACAGCACCTAAGATCAAATTTCGCGCGGAGAAAATTCAGTGGATGACGGATGCACGTCTGTCTAACCCAGGGTTTTAGGGAAGTTTCCCTGTGTAGCTATTGACGGATAAGGGTTGACTTGAGGTGAAGAAAAAGCCGCCATAACTTCGCAGTGGTACTCGCAAATGAAATCCGAGGAATGAGTGCTTTTCCTTTACATTGAGTCATCTGTTATATATTATTTTCTTTAATATTGTGTCATAGCTAGATAGCTGCATACATTATTGAAAAAAGACTGATTACACTTTACCTTCGATGCCTGTATAACTCCCAGTTCTTATATGTCGCATGGCCTTTTAATTAGAGCTGACTGTAGTTAAATATACATCCACTCCCAATTTTCAACTAACCCCGTATAGACCAAGATCTCAAAATTTCTTGTGCCGTTAGATAATTATTGTGGGCTGCTACTCTCAGCCGATGGATCAGGTGATGCATATATTTCTCTCATCCATAAATCAGAGTTCTTTGATCGCGGCGAGCTTCCATCATTGTGCTGAACGCGGGGTGGTATAATCTCTCGCATCCACGAATTAATATATTCAGGTCGCGGCGAGCTACCGACATCACCCTTAGAATTTATTACTTCCAACTTTTCCAATTTAATTTCTGCCATTTGGCGACTCAGCTTGCTTCTGAGAGATTCATGTTTGCAAGTGATAATCTTATAACAACGCTTTCGACGTGATTCTTTTGCCGGCTCAGATGTCCGATCCGCTAAGAATTGGTGGAGGGGCAGGAACGGGCCGTTAGTGAGCCATGCAAGCTTGCTGACTAAAATTCCATTTTCGGGCCTTCTGCTTGTATCGGTGAGAAGGTACCACGCATTTTCTCTTGTTCTCAAAAAGACATGAAGATTCCCTTGATACCAAGCAAGAAATTGTTTACCGGGTAACGTAGTCATTCCTACATAGAATTTGCCGTCATGGACTTCATCATGGATACGTAGCGCAACGTCGGCATTGATGTGAATGTCTTTAACTACAGCTTTGGGGAAAATGTTGCTGTAGGATCCATAGAAGCTGCAATGTCCCCAAAAAGCCAAACTGACTATGGCACCTTTCGGACATTCCTCGCGATCTACGACTTGGGATAAATTGATCTGAGAACCTTTCGATTCATGCCACAATTTATCTATAGCTCTCCGACAAGAGGAATGGCCAATATTGACTCGGGCTAGCTCTGTGTGTTTGTCATTAACTGAATCATATAAGCCAACCCTGAGTTTCTGAATTATTGCGTTTTCATTCAATATATCTGAGCAGTAGGCCCTCAAATATGTACCTTCACCTTGGAACTTGTTACCCGTCATGTATATGCGGGAATTTTTTTCGGGCGTTGGGAAAAATGTCTCCACATCGGGTAAGAAGACGCCATAGTAAGGGGTTTCCGAGTAAATACTCGTAATGACCAAGCTACTTCTATCATTTGACAACGACGCCGTCTTCAAAAGAATTGCTAGAACGCAATGCATCGAGATGTCCCAATAAAAAATACTACTTTACAGAGTCAGCTTGTTCTGTTGGGCCGTTATTGGAATGTAAACAAACCGGAAGGTGTGATTATCTCAAGCGTCCGATTGATGTGCAGTCGAACTTGTTGCGTGAAAATGAAGGCCAGGTTGGGTGAATTCCTTCAAAATACTACGGAAAATCCGAAAAGGTCGGTGAATCTAGTGCAGTTGTTTAAATATTCACAGCGATGGCATTTACAATATACCATGTATTTATTTGTAGATCTGAGATCATAGATGTTCTTTCACTCACGCTGTATTGGTTAAAATAACCATGGCAGATATAAAGGACGTCTAGGAGGAAATCAGATGAAGGAGATGACATTAAGAAGATCTTAAGATTGAGTCAGAGGATCATCTAACTCCGACAAAGTATCCAATTAGAAATGTAATATGGGAACCTTTACTTGCATACCTTCTTTTGTGCCAAGAAGCAGAGGGATATCAGCGCATTAATAAGCATTGGTCAGGAAGGAAATGAGGAAATTAGATTCATAAAATTGAAAGCCCTTTAGAATATAACATTATGCAGAAATTGTAGGTTCTATATGCCTACATGACAGCAGTTTCAATGCCAGGTTCACAGCCTCACTTGAACGGTTGATGAACGCCAGTGTTCATGTGTAAACTGGAAACTGTTGATATTTTCTCTCCCCTTGCCCACTATCCGCGTGAAGGTCACGCATGGGTGTTTATCACAAAGTAAACTGCCGTCCTTCCTAGCCTTTACATCTTCTCCTGGTTTGTAATGCAATCAAGACAACAGATCTTAAGATCCTGACCAATCTTCCAATTAGTTACAGAATCGTGGTTTTATGTCAACTCGAGTAATAGTGAAGCTCTACTGGTCAGTTGGATCAGATGCTAAGATTCGAGAGAATGCCGTTGACAAGCTTACTGCTAATATCCTTGGGTCAAAGGAGTTTACAATCTTATTGTCGTGGGGTTTCATTTATCCACCCGTAGATAATTATTCATGTGTGGCGCAATAACATGTGACTATTATTTCTGGGTAGGAAAAGGTAATGAGAAGGAAGGCGCAATCTTTAAATAACTGCGGCGTAAGTTGAGGCCGTGCCCAACAAATACAAGGCTTATCCTCCCAATGTCGTAAATTAGATGGGAGACTATTCTCAACACCTGTCAGTGGTGTCCCCTACGAACATCCAGCTCTCACCGTAGAGTCTGCAGAGCCGAGGTTGAGTAACACCTTATCAACTGTGAGCTGAGTTATCCTTCCCTCCGTCAAAGATACGCTTCCGATAACACATAAGACGACAAAGACGACGATAATGATGCTGGGAATGAGGAGAGATAATGCGGTACCAAACGCTACAACGGTAGTCAGAGAAGCCCTCGTTATATCACAACATGTGCTACTCACCGGCGGGCGAACAAAAAGCCCACGAAAGCAAAGTAAAAGACCCTTCCGCCCTCAAGAAAAGCAGATTTTGACTCGTCTACATTATCGTCCCTACTAATCATAACTATCGAATCTAGTAGCCAGGAGGGCATCTGAGATACATGAGTTACTCGACGACCGCACGTCCGTAACGACTTTTGTATGCTAGGCTAGGCTCCTTCACGACGGTCACTCTCGACCAAGACTTTTCTGACATCCTTTCACGACCTACGATTTTTCCTGCGGCATGAATCAGGGGAGGGGTAAGGAGGAGGCTAGGAAGGTTGAGAGACGCTCTTAGGTATACACAGGTCTGCTGCGCCCGACTGGCCGGCCTCTTCGACATAGGAGAGCCCCGCACCCAGTGGATTTTGTGACTTTTCCCAGCAGCTACACACCCGCAAATGGCCATCGTTTCGTTGGCTGGAGAGGGGAGATAATGACGGGATAACGGCTCCTCTTAGTGTATACTCGAATGAAGACCTGTGGGGGTATTACTGCTGGAAAGAAGTCGTGAGGGAGGCATAGATACTCCCAGCCTGTAGGCAGAAAGGACCTACATGTCCTTGCATAGTTATAGACTTTTTAGGACAATAAACAACCACTCGTAGATTAGATTTTATTACAGTTAGATTTGATTTGATTTCATTTAGCCCGTTTAGGTATATCTAGTTGTAATATATGCACAGGAGGAAACCAAATTCGGTAAAAGCCCCCCAAAACTGTCTGTCTTGCGTCTATTGGTTTTCTGAGATTTCCTACAGGAAGAGCGTTTGCACTAGTTATACGGTGTGAATTCCGTATTATCCTTGTCCACATCGTCTCATCTTTTTCGTCTAATGCTATTTTTTAGAATAAGATTCTTGTATACGAGTGGTACGTAAGTACTGGAAGTAGAATTGATATAGTATTGAGTTAATCTATCATGTATGATTCTCGCCATCGCAGCATCCTTCAATGCTGCGCCCATACTCCTATTAATATGTGTCTGCCAGCCTCGTCTATGCGCTAATACGGAACTACTAATACAGGGTATCTAAGATCTCCAAACGCCTTACAATTTATACTCCTGAGTAAGTAATAAATACAACTATAACTCCATTATGTTCAGGTACAGGAATGATTATGTTTGACCAACAATCTTATAATTCAACACTATTTCTACTTCTTTTTCAAGCCGGAATTGTTCAAGCCAGCCTTTTGCCAAGATCCATTTTGTAATTCTCTCCATATCATCATTGCGGCAAATGACCTATCTTTTGCCTTTCGAAGCACCTCTCCTCTTCCCATGGCCCACTGAGGACACGCCAAGACCATACGTTTGACATTTTGAGACGGATATCCACACTGGCATTTTGGATTAATCACTTCGGGGACTTTCCTTCGATACAGATAAGAATTGAGACCAATGAGCTCATTTCTTATCTCAACTGCAATACTGCTTTGGGCCCTACTAAGGTTCCGGCGGATATTCGAGGGTGTGTTTCTACAGGTTATCCTTTTTCTGCCTGTTGTCTCATCCGTAACACTTTCTGCGGCTTTATAACGTTCAGAGTCTGCCGAAGCTCGATGACCAAATGGTATCTCGTTCCCTGGACGTGTCCATGAGGATATCCACTCCTGGAACGCGGTCATCTTACCAGCTTCTTTTTGTATCCCTTTCGCATTCACCTTGCCACAAATTCTGTTCCATTCTTCAATGTCTAGCTTTCGATTCTTGGCGTGCCTGTTCTCAGTTCCCCTTGTGGTCTACTTGACTTTACCGCACGCAGATGGTATCGATCTCCTCACAGGTAGTCCTTCTGATGATTAGATTATTATTATAGTCCTAACTGAGTCCATAACTATGAAGGACTCCTAGAATCTACATTAAATACTGGCTAAATTTTCATGTCCGAACTGGATAGTTTCTAACTTTGCTCTCATAGACAGTGAGGGACAAGCCCTTTGAATTTTATTATAGTCCTATCTGAGTCTATGACCATTGAGGTCTTCTAGGATGTTTAAGGCGAAACTAACTCTATATCATTTATTTAATCGTTATAATTTTGAACTTTTTGGAGAGCAACAAAACACTTGTACGCGTTGTCCTCTACGAACCTGGGAGTGAAATATTCTCCCAGAGCCAAGTTCAGTCAAATTTCGCAATATCTAACAAGTTGGCCCACGAGGCAATGATTCGAATTACTCCACCTCAGCGTTTTTCACTCCCAACGAGTTTGAATCCTAACTAAGTCTCATCAAGTCTACAAATACGACCAAGGAAATCCTCATCCCCATGACCATACCACTCTTCGACCTTCTCTGGCCTCAGTTGACCGCCAAATACACGCCCATGCCGATATTTACGACCGACGGAGGGAGCAAAGCGTGGCGCACAAATCTGGGACACAGTTCTTTGGGTTGGACCTGAGAGGAATCATGACAGGCTGACGAAACGGCATGGTGGATGGATACATTCTCGACGGGCGTGAAATTCTGAATAATGGCAAGGAGTTTTATGAATTGGGCTTCGTACGCGCCAGGACTTCGCTTGCGAGAGTGAAGCTAACACTAAAAACACAAGCCAACGCTGGAAAGTGCTGTGGTCCGTCTCGTGGTGGTGTTCTCTGGTATGGTTTGAGTAGCCTGGGCACCTGCTCCACTTGGGAAGGAGACATTACAGATTACATATCGCGCGGAGATAAGTTGAAATATGACGGAGGCATGTCTGGATAACTCAGGGTTTTTGAGACGTTCCCCTGGGTGGGTATTTACGGATGAGGGTTGACTTTGGGTGAAGGAAAAGCCGCTATAACTTCGCAGTTGTACTTGCAAATGAAATCCGAGGAATGAGTGCTCTTCCTTTACGTTGAATCATCTATTCTGTACTTTTCTTTGATATTGTGTCAAAGCTAGATAGCTGCATACGCAATTAAAATCTGATGCAAAAAAAAAAAAAAGATTGGTCAGGATCTTAAGATCTGTTGTCTTGATTGCATCACAAACCAGGAGAAGATGTAAAGGCTAGGAAGGACGGCAGTTTACTTTGTGATAAACACCCATGCGTGACCTTCACGCGGATAGTGGGCAAGGGGAGAGAAAATATCAACAGTTTCCAGTTTACACATGAACACTGGCGTTCATCAACCGTTCAAGTGAGGCTGTGAACCTGGCATTGAAACTGCTGTCATGTAGGCAAATAGAACCTACAATTTCTGCATAATGTTATATTCTAAAGGGCTTTCAATTTTATGAATCTAATTTCCTCATTTCCTTCCTGACCAATGCTTATTAATGCGCTGATATCCCTCTGCTTCTTGGCACAAAAGAAGGTATGCAAGTAAAGGTTCCCATATTACATTTCTAATTGGATACTTTGTCGGAGTTAGATGATCCTCTGACTCAATCTTAAGATCTTCTTAATGTCATCTCCTTCATCTGATTTCCTCCTAGACGTCCTTTATATCTGCCATGGTTATTTTAACCAATACAGCGTGAGTGAAAGAACATCTATGATCTCAGATCTACAAATAAATACATGGTATATTGTAAATGCCATCGCTGTGAATATTTAAAC